TGTGTTCAAGAAAGTGAAACTGTCATGATTGATTTGTGCGTCATTAAATTTGGTTTTAAAACACCAGGATCTAACCCTGTTCAAGTTACTGTCTCAAGGCAGGTAACGGGACTGAAACTATTTCAGTGACAAAGATACCAACAAATGTGGTAATTTTGACTCTCTTCTGTTAATATGAATAACTAAGTTTCGCTATTTACACAGTTTATCTCTCATGTACATTTTCGCATGACCCTCACCAACACCTTTCTAGAATCAGAAACCTCTGCTAAAGGCAGTGTCCATTGAATAATTCCGACTCTATTTTATGCATGTGGTTATGAATCGCTATCAAATCGGGATGATACCAAGTGCAACAAAAGGAGCACCACATGATAGGCTATATATTTGGAAAGGTCAACAGTTCAAAAGTTCACAGTCTTTTATCAGTATGTAAGGCATCCATTCCAAAGTAATGTACAGTGAAAATACATAATTTATTCGTTTGCTAAACTTTGCCATGGGATGATATGATTCAGCATTTCGATAATATTTGTATTGCCCTTTCTAACACAGCATCAATATATGATAAGCCTGCAACATATTTCCACTGATGGTGCAGCTCGCCTCTCTTCTTGTCAAATGGAGCTAATTGTACAGTTGGAACGTTCCGTTTTTCTCGACGAAACCTATTGTATAATTTCCAGCTGGTACCTGATATATGACCAGTGTTTGACAATATAACTGCATGCGAGTAAAAGTTGAATCAAATGATAGCAACAAAATATCGTGTTTGTCTTAGACACTGATTCTTTGTTAACAGTTAGTGACTAATATTTCTACTACTACTATTACTTCTACTACTACTACTACTACTACTACTACTACTACTACTACTACCCGTGAAGATTCCGGGGTAGAATAGGTCTTCAGCAACCCATACTTGCCCTAAAAGGTGACTATGCTTGTCGTAAAAGGCGACTAACGGGGTCGGGTGGTCAGGCTCGCTGACTTGGTTGATACATGTCATTGATCCCAATTGCGTGGATCGATACTCATGATGTCAATCACTGGATTGTCTGGTCCAGACTCGATTATTTACAGACCGCCGTCATATAGCTGGAATATTGCTGAGTGTGGCGTTAAACCACAAACAAACAAAAAAACAACAACAAAAACTACTAGTACAGTACTACTACTACGTGGAGGCTCTTCATGATAGAATTGTATTGTGCATTTTAGCACACATTTATTTGTCTGATGCCAAGACACATGATGAAAACAAGGCCTTCCATAGTTTTCTTAAACGCGCCAAGGATGTGGGACATAATCTCAATGTCAGTGTGAATTTTGTTGATAGTTCTTTACTTCTGGACGATACAGAAATGAGTGTCAACCAAGCGAAGTGCCATATCGAATCGGCCCAGACCCAGAGATGCTTTCTGAACGACCACTGCATCGAGTTTATGTGCAGTGTGTTGAGAAGATCAGCAATCCTGCAGTGTCCATTGGTTGGATGAAGTCGGCTGGCCTGAAAAGTGAAACAGAAAGCTTTCTGTTTGCTGCTCAAGACCATGCATGTGGTTTTGACACAGAAGTTCATCCATGGTACGACCCAGAATATGTAGAGGAGAAAATTCTTTGGAATAGGCCCGTATACAGCCTCAGACCTATGCAGGCCAATAAACCTGATCTTGCCCTTTTTGATAAATACAATGAAATAATTTATATTATTGAATTTTCTGTCCTTTTTGACACTAATGTGATTGACAAGATATTCAGGAAAAACATGGCAAATATGCGGACCTCGCTTTCGAAATGTCACACTTGCATCCCAAGTACCGAGTTGTTCGACTCCCCATTGTTCTCGGTGCCTCAGGTTTGGTACCTCCCAATCTGTTGACTGACTTTGGCAGAATACCCGGGTTTGCTACCAGGAATACAGTCCTTCTGACAATCCGGGTAATGCAGAAGGCTGCAGTGTTGGGGAGTCTTCACGTTCTCCGAAATAATAAAAATAATAATAATAATAATAATAAGTATTGACACCCTCCCACGAAGAATCATGTCAGACAATAGATCCCACCACCCTTGCTCTTCCCTCAATCGTTTATATTTACCAATCATAACGGGAGAGCGTAGATTGATTAACGTTTGGGCTCTTCATGATAGAATTGTTTTGTGCACTTTTGCACACATCTATTTGCTACCAGGAATACAGCCCTTCTGACAATCTGGGTAATGCAGAAGGCTGCAGTGTTAGGGAGTCTTCACATTCTCCGAAATGTTCTGGGTGGGTTTGACGAGGCAGCTCATCCTGGGAGAAGTGCCATTCGCTGTCTGGGCTGCGTGTAGAGGGGGCAAGGGCCCCGAGCTGATGATGAACCTAACCATCCTGATTGTGCCAGGATCACCCAAACCCTCTTTGCTGCATATTTTAATCTGTGCATCATCATCATCATCATCATCATCATCATCATCATCATCATCATCATATTAAAAATGTTTGTGAATCCCCGTATAACCTGCCATGAGTGTAAAGTAGGCTGTTTAAACCATTCTAGTGGCCTAGAAAACAAACAGTTACTGGTCCCCTCGGAACATAGAACTGTCAGGATTCATCCTTCTACTACACAAGTATATGTGGTGTGTGAATGTGTTTCTATCATACAGTACTTCGCGTCAGGGCATATGTTTATCCTGATCAGAGTTACCAGTGCAAGACAGGGACAGGCTAGCAGATACGGTCCCCAACTTACTCCCTATCCCCCAAATGTCTTGCCCATCTTCTGACAAGACCAAAACTCAAAGTAGGCAGAGTGGGAAGACACAGATTCGTCTTCATGAAGCCACAACGTTCATCTCATTTATCAAGCAGAAATCAGATACCAAAGCACTTACAGATAGAAAATTGCCACAGAAGGTGTTTATTTGCATGACAATGATTTCTCGCATTTTCGCACCACAAACTAGACACATATAATCCCAATAATCCCGACTGCAGATTATGGAACTTTAAAAACCCATTTCGCAACATGGACGTATTTTTTATGAACATCTGCCATGCACACCCATATATAACATACGTAACCACTTTACTCAACACTACAACGACGGGACTTGATCTATTTTAAAAGGGATCATGACACTTTTTTCAAAGGAAATACATTCTCGGGTCTAATGGCTGTCGGGCAAGTTCAAATTCCAGCAGCCTCAAAATGTGCAAAAATAAATTTACTCACGTAATGCCATCACAAACATTTCACTAAGACAGAAAGGTGATATCACATGATGGCCCTAGCTATGATTGTCCCACATTCTACAACGTGATGTTTTCAGCGGAATTTGTCATTAATCAGGACATAAATCCTCACAGTAGAACATTAAAAAAGAAGAAACATTTCTGGTGAAATCGATTATATCACTGGTCGCAGTGTACACGAGCCACTACTGCAGCTCAGTGGAATAAAAGTTTATGTATGGCAGCTGTGGTATACACGCTCAACGAACATGAATCCCATCCCGCTTTTATCAGTGTTCGTTATATTTCATTCTTATTGTTGAGAATAATAAAAAGGATAGACAAGTGTTTCCATAATAGATATGTAGGACATATAATTTTGTTTTAAAATATATTAATATCCTATTGTTATCAATCGATTCTTGAAATACTTATGATAATTTATTTCCATTATTAATAAAAGTTTAAAAAATATAACAACATTTGGATTCATTATCTTGGATATGCAACACAAACAATTTTGGTTCAAATCGTGAAATATTCACATATTTTCTCGTCTACAAGTTAAGATCCAACATACAAGAACAGAGTCAGAGAACAAAAAAGAAAGACATAGAAAGTACCGTTAACTAAGTAAATAAAAACAATATTGCCAGTTGAAAAATCACCCCCCCCCCCCAATAGCCAAGTTTGAATTGGTGACTCCTATCTTCCATTTAAACATGAACATATCAACTGGCGATGTAAAGCTCAGATAACAGCCAAGAAATCCTTTTGGCACAGGCAGCTATCGCCTGGTAGTTATAGAGACGGAGAGAATTGTACACGCTCTCTTCGGGCTTACATGGAGTTTAAAATGTTCTTCATGAGACTACGGAGAAATCACAAAAATGTTTGTTCTACATGTGTAGAAAATACTGAAAATTGATTACCGTTATTTAGTTTGATTTGCATTGCATGAAACAAGTAAAAACATTTTGACCAAGAAACTATAATTATATAAGAACACACTGGTAGTTTACAATTCTGTTCGGCATGAACGTAAAGAAACAACTCAGTGAAAACTGGAAGTGTTTAAATATTCTAGCTGGAAAACGAAGAAGGGAAAAGAAAATATTTCTAAAAACGACGTTAAAATTTTGTCCCGGGAAATAATGCCGGTTCATCATGGTAGTGGCTTTAAACGAATCATACTTAATATGAACCAGGAATTTATCAGGCGAATTACAACACGATCACGTTCCAAGGAAAAATATCACGGAATGATTAAAGCGCGTCTTGTCACATGACGACCAAACACGGGTTATATACCATGAAGATGTTTAAACAGATATCCGAAATATTCTTCAAATTAAAAATGGTATTCCGTGGATTAACAGTTTTTGAAGCAGCTGTTGAACTTAAAAATGATTTTTCGTGCAGGTCTACCCTTTGTTTTATAGTGCATTTTACGATGGACAAACTGTCTATACGATAGTGTTGACCACTGGTGACTTTATACCACAATAGAATTATTTATATATACTATATATACTACAAACAATATATATATACAGGAAGCTTTTGTTTTGAGCTGTTATATCCAACGAACTAAAGTGTATACAATTTCTGACAAATTTGAAATTACATTAATACTGGCACATGAAGGACGTGGCATATTGATGACTTGTAACTTTAGCTGTATTACATGCCGCATGCAAATTATGTCTATAATATGATCCTGTACGATCAAAGGACCTACCTGTGAGTGCATTACAGGTGTGGATATTGGTGATCTTACCTGTCACTAGGATACACAATCCAATTAGGAACAGGTGCGAAACCATCCTCTCTCGCCTTCTGCAACTGACGCCAAACTTTGCCGTACCCCTCCAGTCCTAAACAACTCCTTATCGAAATTTCCAAATTCACCAGTGTCTCCCGCGCCCGTGAAATCGAAGGTCTGCAGTGTGAAATTATCGAGTTGTGATCCGAGCGAGCGAATTCGGTCTATAGGCTATTTCAGAAGAGTAAACCCAACGCCGTGATCAGTGCAAACTATCCGATAAAGATAACGGCTCTGCAATTTCCTGTTGAAAAGGTAGATTATATCTGATCATGGCAATTTATCGAACGGTTACGTCTTGGCAGTTCTTGTAGGAGTTTTACCATTCACGTCATTGCTAATCACCCAAGCTTTTTATGTCATTGCGCGAGACACTGCCTTGAGTTTGTCAGACCTTATTAATTGGAATCTATAATTCAATATTTAAAATAGATTTAAGGATCTTGATACTTAACGAAACGAGTTGGATACAAGTCTGGGTTTTGCCCGCGGGACTATTGTTTTGATGTCCATACCTCGATAACGCGAGAGCTATTTGACCTGCGTTCCATCCACTTGTGCCATATGTACAATGTAGGACATATTCCGTGGTGATCACACACAGTAAGGCATCCAGCGGGAACCAGCTGGCAACATATTGCACTGGATGGTATATTTTCGTATTAATTATTAGAAAAAACCCTCGAGAAACGGACTTAATAGAGTAAAAGATAATTAATTTTGTGTTAGGCAAATAACCGTGAAGCTGTATAGTGTGTGAGTGAGTATGGTTTTACGCCGCCTTTAGCAGTATTCCAGCAATATCATGGTCAGCCATATCGCACATGTAGCCGTACTTAAGGACCGGTCACTTATTATAGGGGGTGGTGTGGATCGGGGTTGAGTGAGTGAGTGAGTTGGGTTTAACGCCGCTTTTAACAGTATTCCAGTTATATCACGGCGTGTCAGCTTAATGTGGGAGGAAAGCCCGAAGTGATGCAGGTCTCAGACGTTTACCACTTCGGTGAAACCCACGAGCACGGGTATGGTGCTGACAAACCTAGAAACATAATCGGGGCGAACCGGGATTCGAACCCACAATAATAGGTTTCTGGTGTGCCCAAGGGACGCAACTCTGCACAGCGAATCGCGGCGCCTTAGACGACTGGGCCACCCGTGCCCCCGGATCGGGGTTGAGGCTTAGAGTTTTTTGAATTTTCCCCTCTACATATTCTGAGTCGTACCATGGATGGACCTCCGTGTCAAAACCACAAGCATGGCGAAGACGGTAATTAAACGATTGAACCACTCCATCACGCCGCTTAAGATACTGTGTTTGTGCCAAGGTTGGGCATCCACTGACAATTTGTTGGACAGTCATACATTGACGGTTTCGAATGTGAAGTGACCGGTCTTGAGCAGCAAACAGGAAGCTTTCTGTTTCACTTTTCCGGCCAGCCGACTTCATCAAACCAAAGGGCTCTGCAGGGTTGCTGATCCTCTCTACACATTGGACATAAACGTGATGCAATGGGCGTTCAGATAGCCTGTCCCTCTCCCCGATTTGATATGGCACTTCGCTTGGTTGACACTCATTTCTGTATCGTCCAGCAGTACAGAACTATTAACAAAATCAACACTGACACTAATGTACGGAAGATAATGACCCCTTCAGGAATTGTTTATCATAATTGTGGATGGCCCTTCCCATGCCCTAGTACATTCACTCCATGACCCTCCCTGAATAGACAAAATACAAAATCGCTTTATAGTTAATAAGAAAATGTCAATTTGTGTAACCCTCCACAGGTATGTGCATTAGTTACTAAAAGGGAATGTCATACCTATTTTGGTGACCCCCCCCCCCCCCCCCCCCTCATTTTCTCTGTCCGCAACCCCCCTCCCCCGTCCCCCCTCCTCCCTCTACACACACACACACACCCTCCCAACCCCATGATAAACGACCGGTCCCTTTTTGAAGTCAGCGTGTACCACAATCATGATTCTACACTGGAAACAACATGATGGCATGCGCGATGTTACATTGGTTTTGAAATCACTTCTTCGAGTGTATATGTTTTATGATACTGACTTTGTCGTGTATGAAACATTAAAAGCAGCTGTGGAAGGAAAGCTTCGAAATAAACAGAGCTTTGTGACAGTTGCCAGCTCATTATCAGTTTTAATCGCGATATTTATAATTTTTACGTGGACTTTACGAGATGCATTGTACCCAGACAAAAGATAGTTAAAATAAGCATTTTCAGGAATTCCTACTTTGTACACGACAAGGTATATTTTGGAACCGCAGTTTTAACGATAAATAGCATTTGAGATGCCAATTCCTTTTGAACAACAGTTTAACAGTATGTAAGAGATATATCTAGACGTTTCTATAGACATCTAAATGAGTGAGTGAGTGAGTTGGGTTTAACACCGCTTTTAACAGTATCCAGTTATATCAAGGCTTGTCAGCTTAAAGTGGGAGGAAAGCCCGAAGTGATGCAGGTCTCAGACGTTTACCACTTCGGTGAAACCCACGAGCACGGATATGGTGCTGACAAACCTAGAAACATAATCGGGGCGAACCGGGATTCGAACCCACAATCATAGGTTTCTGAAGTGCCCAAGGGACGCATCTCTGCACTGTGAATCACGGCACCTTAGACGACTGGGCCACCCGTGCCCCACATCTAAACGAAGGTACGAGTATGCATAAATATAAAACGCCAACGCCAGAGAATAACCGACCAAATGCCGAAACAGATTCCATTGGGCGTAATGTGATACTTTTGAAAATTATACGAATAGATCACTGAAAATCGGTGATGACACCAGGTGTTCACGAAATGCGAATGTGCGAACACGATGCACTCTATCTTTTTTCCTATTTCAATGCGAAACGGTAAGCATACATGTCTCAAGATCAAGGATCACGTTTATCTAAAAAAAATTATTTTGTATGAGGTTATCGATTATTTTCTCAAAATATGTGAGGTTTTAGATATTTTCAAATCAGCAAAATGTTCCGGCCGACCATTTTACTATTCAATTAGAGATGTTTGGTTCAAACCATTGATCGTGTTTCGCAAAACCATTCTTCGCGTTAGTCGAACCGTTGATAGGGTTCAGTAGTACCATTGATAGCGTTTTCGTTAACTTGATATCGTATAGTCAAACCACTGTTCGCGTTTAGTCAAACCAGTGGTCGTGTTTCGTCAACCCAGTGATTTACATACATGTATTTTGATCACAAAATTAAAAGTGTTTTTATTATTAACGTTTGATAATCATTGAAAGTGTTTCGACAATCCATCATTCACATTTAGGGACACCATTGGTCCTGTTTAATTCAGAGTAGTCAAACCTTTATTCATGTTTTGTCAAACCATGTCGAGGGCACGGGTGGCTCAGTCGTCTAAGGCGCCGTCATTCGCTGTGCAGAGTTTCGTCTCCTGGGCACTCCAGAAACCTATGATTGTGGGTTTGAATCCCGGTTCGCCCCAATTATGTTTCTAGGTTTTTCATCACCATACCCGTACTCGTGGGTTTCACCGAAGTGGTAAACGTCTTAGACCTGCATCACTTCGGGCTTTCCTCCCACATAAAACTGACACGCCGTGATATAACTGGAATACTGTTAAAAGCGGCGTTAAACCCAACTCACACTCACTCAAACCATGCCCATGGATTCGTACAGACAACCGTTATTCACCTTCAGTCAAACCATTTACTACAGACAATAAACAACTCATCATGACTCATACATAACACATGCCAGTTTAAATATATTATTCCATCAACGGTATCTCACTGAATTACCAATTATGAAAAAAAAATGCATTCAATTAAGCGAACTGTAACATTACCTGAATATTTCTTTGAAAATGGAAGAATTCAGCTCTGTTGTTGAACGTGTTACGGGAATTAAACGTTTCATTGAACTGTAGTCCAATTTAATCAATTATTCCTGCAAATACCCCAAGTGAAGTTCGACACGTCGTCAATATTTATCCGATATTATTGTCTGGAGAGCAGTATCCTACTGCGATGTCCTTTGGGACGCGTTGTCTCCAGGAAAGGTCGCTAGCTCGGATGCTGATTTGGAATAACTGACTCTCTGGTAGACAGTATGTAATTTTCCCATCATTCCCGATCTGCTTAGACGGCTAATGCCATTCGTGTTAGTTCGGTAAGGAGGTCGTTCTTGTTCTTACATGGCGACCTCAAGTCCTAAGACGAATAAACAAAACGGCTTCAGCTATGCGTTTTGACATAGGTTATAAGTGGAGCAGGAATCAGGTATAATTGTTCAAATGATGATGCAAGCGCATAAATCGGCATCGTAGATTTATTTGATTAACAAATTCTGCCGCCGAAAATCCAAGATGGCTGCCTATTATCCTTTCAAATAACCTTTATTGGTTATAAGTGAATGATTGGGCAAACTCTGCCTGTTTAATATGGTTGCTCCCATGAATCTAATTCACTGTGCAGTTTCTCAATATTTTGAAAACCTAAGACATCTGCCACGTATTTTTTTCTAAAATTGTCACTATTTCATACAAAAATTGATGTAGTCACGCTTTGTTTATACCTGTTAATGTACCCCAGCCTTGACTGATCTGAACAATATTCAATTTTTGATAAATCCATATCTTTCTGACATCTAGATGATAAATTGCTATTCAGGTTGAAGGAGTGACATAGACACCTCAAATTTTGACAGCTGCGTTGGATTGAAAAGTCACATCAAATCAGAACAATTAACATATCAACATATTACTATCGATGGACGCCATGTTCATCCCGGAAGTTTATTGGGGTAACTGTTGGACGTCATGTTCATCCTGGAAGTTTATTGGGGTAACTGTAGGACGCCATGTTCATCCTGGAAGTTTATTGGGGTAACTGTAGGACGCCATGTTCATCCTGGAAGTTTATTGGGGTAACTGTAGGACGCCATGTTCATCCTGGAAGTTTATTGGGGTAACTGTAGGACGTCATGTTCATCCTGGAAGTTTATTGGGGTAACTGTAGGACGCCATGTTCATCCTGGAAGTTTATTGGGGTAACTGTAGGACGCCATGTTCATCCTGGAAGTTTATTGGGGTAACTGTAGGACGCCATGTTCATCCTGGAAGTTTATTGGGGTAACTGTAGGACGCCATGTTCATCCTGGAAGTTTATTGGGGTAACTGTAGGACGCCATGTTCATCCCGGAAGTTTATTGGGGTAACTGTAGGACGCCATGTTCATCCTGGAAGTTTATTGGGGTAACTGTAGGACGCCATGTTCATCCTGGAAGTTTATTGGGGTGACTGTAGGACGCCATGTTCATCCTGGAAGTTTATTGGGGTAACTGTAGGACGCCATGTTCATCCTGGAAGTTTATTGGGGTAACTGTAGGACGCCATGTTCATCCTGGAAGTTTATTGGGGTAACTGTAGGACGCCATGTTCATCCTGGAAGTTTATTGGGGTAACTGTAGGACGCCATGTTCATCCTGGAAGTTTATTGGGGTAACTGTAGGACGCCATGTTCATCCTGGAAGTTTATTGGGGTGACTGTAGGACGCCATG